TTCCTTTTTCTCCACATCCTCTCCAGCATCTGTTGTCTCCAGATTTTTTAATGATCGCCATTCTAACTGGCGTGAGATGGTATCTCAATGTGGTTTTGATTTGCATCTCTGATGACCAGTGATGATGAGCATTTTTTCTATGATTGTTGGCCTCATATATGTCTTCTTTTGTAAAGTGTCTGTTCATATTCTTAGCCCATTTTTGAATGGGCTTGTTTGTTTTTTTCCTGTAAATCTGTTTGAGTTCTTTGTAAATTCTGGATATCAGCCCTTTGTCAGATGGGTAAACTGCAAAAATTTTTCCCATTCTGTTGGTTGCCGATTCACTCTAGTGACTGTTTCTTTTGCCGTGCAGAAGCTGTGGAGTTTCATTAGGTCCCATTTGTCTATTTTGTCTTTTGTTGCCAATGCTTTTGGTGTTTTGTTCATGAAGTCCTTGCCTACTCCTACGTCCTGGATGGTTTTGCCTAGATTTTCTTCTAGGGTTTTTATGGTGCCAGGTCTTATGTTTAAGTCTTTAATCCATCTGGAGTTAATTTTAGTGTAAGGTGTCAGGAAGGGGTCCAGTTTCTGCTTTCTGCACATGGCTAGCCAGTTTTCCCAACACCATTTATTAAACAGGGACTCCTTTCCCCATTGCTTGTTTTTGTCAGGTTTATCAAAGAGTATGTGGTTGTAGATATCTTGTGTTGCCTCCGATGCCTCTGTTTTGTTCCATTGGTCTATATCTCTGTTTTGGTACCAGTACCATGCTGTTTTGATTACTGTAGCCTTGTAGTATAGTTTGAAATCCGGTAGTGTGATGCCCCCGGCTGTGTTCTTTTTGCTTAGAATTGACTTGGTTATGTGGGCTCTCTTTTGGTTCCATATGAAGTTCATGGTGGTTTTTTCCAGTTCTGTGAAGAAAGTCAATGGTAGCTTGATGGGGATAGCGTTGATTCTGTAAATTACTTTGGGCAATATAGCCATTTTCACGATATTAATTCTTCCTAACCATGAACATGGAATGTTTCTCCATCTGTTTGTGTCCTCTCTGATTTCGTTGAGCAGTGGTTTGTAGTTCTCCTTGAAGAGGTCCCTTATGTTCCTTGTGAGTTGTATTCCTAGGTATTTTATTCTTTTTGTAGCAATTGTGAATGGCAGTAAAAATATGGACCGCTTCACGAATTTGCATGTCATCCTTGCGCAGGGGCCATGCTAATCTTCTCTGTATTGTTCCAATTTTAGTATATGTGCTGCCGAAGCGAGCACGAGATTTTGATTCTTATGGTCATTCCCTACTGAATTCTGAGTAACAGTCACAGGGGAATTGTATTAGTCAGGGATCTCTAGCGGGACAGAACGAATAGGATAGCTGTACGTATGAAAGGGAATTTAATTAAGGAGAACTGACTCTCACAGTCACAGGGTAAAGTCCCACAATAGGCCATCTGCAAGCTGAGAAGCAAGGAAGCCAGTGCTGGATCAGTCTGAATCCCAGAACCTCAAACGTAGGGAAGACAACAGTGCAGTCTTCACTCTGTGGCTAAAGGCCTGAGAGCTCCTAGCAAACCACTGGCATAAGTCCAAGAGTCCAAAAGCTGAAGAACTTGGAGTCTGATGTTCAAGGGCAAGGAGCATCCAGCATGGGGGAAAAATGAAGGCCAGAAGACTCAGCAGGCTGCCCTTCCATCTCTCCTGTCTGCTTTCTTGTAGCTGTGCTGGCAGCTGATTAGATGGTGCCCACCCAGATTGAGGGTGGGTCTGCCTCTCCCAGTCCACTGACTCAATGGGAATCTCCTTTGGCAGCACCCTCACAGACACACCCAGAAACAATACTTTGCATCCTTCAATCAAGTTGACACTCAGTATTAACCATCACAGGAATTGAACCAGCAGCATCCCTAGCAGGACAGCATTCCTTCTGTCTTTCACAGAACACTAGGTCTTCTCAAAGCATGGAGGAAGACCCTACATCTGGAAGGCAGTGATGGTCAGGAATGTCTTAGCTCATGGGCCTGCAAGGCTGTCCTTTCTCTGGGACTTCAGAACTAGCTAAAGGGCTCTGAGGCTTTCTAGGAGTGCGTGTTCAGAAGTCCTAAGGACCCTGAGGGGACCCTTTGGAAGACAGTTTCAGAGCGTCTTTTAGTTTTCTGTCCCTTGAACATACTTGCACTCTAAGCTGGGTAGATTTCAGTAGGTTTGATTTCACTTGGCACCCCAAATGGGAAAAAGCACCCTCTTGAGGAGGTTCCAGACTAGGGATCATCCCAGATTCAAATAGAACACTTGGGAAGCTGAAGTGGGAATAGGACTCTTGACTGCAGGAGAGCCTGCCCCCTGCTCTGCAGGTATGTGAGGGAGACTGAGCAAGGGGAGCAGGATCAACCCCCATCAGCCTCATGGTTCTATTCGTTCTTCATGCTGTGCAGTGAGGATAGAGCCAAAAGCCTCTTGGACTTTCTCATGGTTTTACCTTATAGAAGAATCTCCAGTGCTTTGTTAAGGGGTTAATGGGATACAGGAATAGGGCAGTCACCTTACAAAGGAGCCAGAAGAATTTATTTTCCACAAAGTGTATCAGGTAAAGGCTATATGCCGAAATGCAAACCACATATTACGATGATAGTCATGTTTCCTTAATGTTGGATTTCTTCTTTTGGTAAGAATATCTGCCCCTGTAACTAAAAAAGATCATCAGTTTTTAGGCTGGATACAGTGGCTCACGCCTGTAATCCCAGCACTTTGGGAGGCTGAGGTGGGCAGATCACCTGAGGCCAGGAGTTCAAGACCAGCCTGGCCAATGTGGCAAAACCCTGTCTCTACCAAAAATACAGAAAAGTAGCCAGGACATGGTGGCGCATGCCTGTAGTCTCAGCTACTCAGGAGGCTGAGGCGGGAGAATTGCTTGAACTTGGGAGGCAGAGGTTGCAGTGAGCAGAGATTGTGCCACTGCACAATCTCCAGCCTGGGTAACAGAACAAGATTTCATCTTTAAAAAAACCAAAAAGCTCATCTTAAAGCTGTGTTGAGAGGGCCCCAAACCCAGCAGCTACACAGCAGGCAAATGGGATCTTCACCAGAGATTGTCATCAGAACCTATTCCCTGAATGCAATCCTCCAAGCTCAGAAGGAGACACCACTGCTGGAGTCTGAGGCCCTTCTGAAGGTGGATAGGATCATCTCGGACAGCAGAACTCTCCCAAGTCTACCTTAGTCATGCACAGCGTGGGATCTTGGCTGTAGTTGAGTAGATGTACTTTGTAGCCTCCCTTATGATCCCTTCGGGCCTGTGCTTGGAGGATTCAAGACCCCATGCTCGTCTTTTACTCCATTGCCATGCTATGTCACTATCAAGCCAGTTGTCCTAATCCCTGCTAGAGTTATTTTCCTATTTAAGACATATGCAGGCCCTGAAGTCTCTGGGGTTATTTTGTAGCATCTTTGGATGCACCTCACTCTGCTGCGTTAGAACTTGAGAGGAAGTCTTTAGGCCCTTGGGGAAGGAGGTGATTCCTGAAAAAGAAATGACGGGTGGTAAGTGCTTTTTTCCATGAAGGCGGGAAGTAAAGAGAACCATCTTTGTTCAAATCAGCATTCAACTGTAAGTTTTAATTCAGAGTTAAATAAGCCTTGGGGAAAGGAGCTTGCACAACTGTTAATTTAGTGCTCTGTGCAATGTCAAACCCCATAGGACACAATGTTTTCACAGCTGTGAAATGTTCACAAGTTGGCCACCTCTGATCATGTGCAGATAGTAGGTACCTCTCCTGTAAACTCAGATCCAAAGATGGGTTTTAGAGCCTCAGAGCACTCCAGAGGGTCAGGATGGGATCTGCCAGTGTGCCTTCTTAGAGACTGCCTTTCCCTCCAGCCAGCGGGTCTCTGAGCAGGGCCTCATCTAGGAGGATGGGGGGACAAATGCAACATGCCTCAGAAAATGGCAGAGATGTCTGCTTTCTGCAGAACTCCAAGATACAGGGTCCTCTGGGCATGGCTTTCGCCCTCAGAAACGTGACCCTCTCCACTTGGCTTTGCATTGCTTGAAATCACTTCTTGGAGGGAAGAGACCAGAACAACCATTTATCAAGCACTTAGTATGTTCCAGGGCCTGTGCTGGGCACCCAACATATATTTCCTCCCTTAATCATCAAGCTGAACAGGTGGGTGGTGATGTTTCTTTTAGCCAATGTGGAAATGGAGGTTTGCAGCATTCAGCTTTCACTAAAGGCTTCAGAAGTGAATATAATTTACCTGATATCAAAAAATGCAATCATTCATTCATTGCTGCCCTCTGGCTTCCCCTAAAATGAATGAGTGATGAAAAAGAGCAAGGGGGAAGCCTCAGTGCATTTTATCCTAATCTCAGAAGCCCCGTGCTTCTGTCAGAATCTGTTTGTGAAAAGCAAGTCATCAAGTCCAGTCCACACTTCTCACGGGATGGGAAATTAGCTTCTGTCCTTAAAGGGAAAAGTATCAAAGAATTTGTGGACACATTTTACAGCCACCACAGTCACTACTGGCCAGTTGTCCTGAAGGTCAGCACTTGGTGCTCAGGGGAACTGTCAGCCACGTTCTCAGTCCTGGGTCCCAAGGCTGAGAGTTCTTTTGGGGCAGGGACCATGTCTTGATCACCACTGAAGCCACAGAACTGAGCACAGGACCGGCACATAGTAGGTGTTCAGTAAATGCTTGAGATAAAATAGGTAATAAATTGAGAGTATGAAGTAAGTAGGCCCTATTAATTATGGTAATAATGACTTCTAGTGACATCTAGGCCTTCTGGAGCTTATCTAAGCTCGCCCACTAACTAGCTGAGTAATCTCATGCAAGTTGTTTACCTTAGAATGCCTCTAGGTTTAGAAAGGGGCTCTTTATAGTTCCTCTAAGTTCTAACTAGCTCTAGTAAAAAGTATATACATATGTCTCATGGAAAGGCTTTGCAGCTTCTACCACCAAGACAAATGCGAGGCTCTCCTCTGCCATTGCTTCCTGACCGAGGCTTCCTCTTCTCCCTCCAGATTGCCCTGCTCCCCAACAATGCTGCTGACTTGGGCAAGTATGTTACCGGTGACAAGGTGCTGGCCTCAAACGCCTACCTTCCAGGACCTCCTGGCCTGCCTGGGGGCCAGGGCCCTCCCGGTGAGTTTGGAAGAGGGCATAGGAGGGTGATCACCATCAGAAAAAGCCTGCCAAAAGCTCACAATGGGTGGGAGCTGGACAGTATTCTCCAGCTTCCATCAAAAAGAAACAGGCAAGTGTCCATGGGGCTGCCACACAGCCATGTAATAAGAGGGCCTTGGGAAATAGGCCCTCAAGCCTGAGAAATCCTCACAGCCAGTAGCAACTTGGGAGAAAAAACTCATTGTCCTGGGATTGGATAAGATTCCTAAAGATCATTTTAACTTAAAAAACAAAATGAAAACTACCTTAAACTTTATTCTGGAAAAATTTTAACTTACACAGAATAGAACAGTATTATGGGCCACCCTCCCCACTGCCCGCCCGGCTTGAGGCTCATCACCCAGTTCTAACAACTCAGAGCCAGCCTCTTCCTACTACTCCCCAATCTTCCTTCCACCCTCCCTTATTTGTTAGCATATTTATACCTGTATTTGTTTTTATACCTAGCTGTATGTTTTTATAAGTCAACTAACTGTATTGATGTACAAGTGATATATAATGTAATGATTTGAATTACAGTTTGAGTTGCCCATATAACTCTCATCCTAGATTTCAAGATATAGATCATTGGTTTTTTGTTTTTGTTTTTTGAGACAGAGTCTCACCCTGTCACCCAGGCTGAAGTGCAGTGGCGCGATCTTGACTCACAGCAACCTCTGCCTCCTGGTTTCAGGCAATTATCCTGCCTCAGTCTCCTGAGTAGCTGGGACTACAGGCGTGTGCCCCATGCCCAGCTAATTTTTTGTATTTTTGGCAGAGACAGAATTTTACTATGTTAGCCAGGATGGTCTTGATCTCTTGACCTCGTGATCCTCCCACCTCGGCCTCCCAAAGTGCTGGGATTACAGGTGTGAGCCACTGCACCCAGCCTATATAGAACATTTCCATCACCCCAGAAATTTCGCTTGTGTCCATGTGCACATGTTTACTTCTACAAACCCCAGTCTAGGCAGACACTGGCCTGCTTCCTTTCACTGTAATTTCACCTGTTCTAAAACTCCATATCACTAGAATCTTTATATATATTCTTCTTAAGAATATATATTTTTGCCTCCTTTCATTCAGCATACTGTTTCTGAAGATTCACCCTTATTTGGAACAAAATCCCAAACATCCTATCATTTCATCAGGAAATATACAATGAGAACTTAAAAAAATATTTCTAAGTTATTTTATATTTTGAGTCCCTCCATAGATAGAGCAATAGATTTTTTTTTCTCCACGCTGGTAAGGGAAATGACATTAGTGTTAGCAAATGATTCTAAACCGGTGAGTGCCTTCTCCCTGGCTATCATTGCTTGGCAGTGTGCTAGGTGTTATGAATGACCTCTTGACATCCTAATTGGGATGACCAGACACAGAGCAAATGCAAATAGAATAGAACAGTATCCACATGCCCTCCGGGTGAGTGCACAGATGCTTCCAGCTGTGGGAGTTTCAAGGGAGAGGGCACCGTAGCCTGCAGTGGTCAGCGGCATTTAGGTTTGATCTGGATGTGGGAAACTGGTAGAATTTGCCCAAGCAGGAAGGACACAGGTGGATTTTCCATTGGAAAGTCAGCCAGAGCAAAAGCTCAGGGTTCTTCACAGAGGATTTGTGTGTTTCCTCTCCACTATGTCTTAAACTCTTCAAACACAAGCCTGGGTCTCAGTCCATCCAGAGAATAAGACGGTTCAGGATTTGTTTTATCCTCATTCATTCCCTTGGCCTGAGGTACTCTGGGTTATGGTAGAGTTTTTTGCAGCAAACCCTTCACACAGGCACCCTCTGGCTGCTTCTAAACAGACTGGAGTCTCTCCTTACAAACCACTTCCCAGCACAGTGCTCTCCACCCTCCTCTAAGAGAATGCTCTTGCTTTGCGTCCCTGGAGGAAGTCAACTCCAGGCCAGTCTATAGATCCCTGGAACAAAAGCAACTGTAGGAGCAGGGGAGCCATTGGCTGTCTTGTTTAATAAATGCCTTGCAAGCTTTCTTCTCCAATGCTGCCATTTGGCTTATAAAAGGGTTTGAGCTGTCCAGGGTCCTTGATGGAGCAGAGAGTGATTGAGGATGAATAAACTTTGGCAACAGACCCATCTTTGAATGGGGACATTCCAATCCCATTTCCTTCTCTCTCTTAACTTCAAGTGTTTGTGGTACCCACCATTGAGACTTACTAGGGAAGCTAAAAATCCAGTTCCGAGGCCTGTGGTGAATCAGACTGGAGCACAAATACAGGAAACTAGGCTGGGTTGGAATCTGTTTGACTTCGGTGGTAGGGGATGGCAGCTGCTTTCTGCCCTCTGCTGTTATACTTGTACATCAAAGTCTCACATTTCAAAGGCACTCAACATACTGTGATCTCTGTAGTGTACTGATTGTGTAACTGTAGGTGAGATATTATCTCTGGCCTCTTTTTGTGCTACTGGAGATAAAATATTTAGTTAAAGGAGGGATCTGGCACCCTTCCCAAACTTTGTAGATGCACCTAGAGCCAGTATTAAGAATAGGGGTGTGAGACATGTTTGGATGGAATATTAACTGCTATTAACTTTGGCTTAATTAGTCTGTGAACTAAAAAAGACTCATCTAAATATGAAGAGTCTAAACTCTTTGTTTCTTTGTTTTATTTTTCTGGAGTCTGAAAGTCATTCCATCCTGTCACTGCTCTGTCAGTATTAGGGGTTAGGTGTGACACAAAGTAATTACTATGTGCATTTAAAAGAACAATTATGAGAAAAGTATGGCGTAGCAATCTTCTCAGTCTCTTCAATGCAATCATTTTAACGAGAAACATTTACTAAGCAGCTTACTATGTATCCAGGACTGTCTGAGGATATGCTAATAAATAAGATACAATCCACACTCTCACAGAGCTGATGATCTAAAGTGGGTTAAAACCCAATGTCCTTCTGCATGCAGGAGAATGAGGATGGACCTTTACCTTACACCATATACAAAAGTTAACTCAAAATGGATTAAAGAGTGAAATGTAAGACCTTAAAACTGAAAGTTCTAGAAAAAAACATAGAGGAAAGCCTTATGACATTGGGTTTGGTGGTGATTTCTTGGATATGGCCCCAAAAGCATAGGCAGCAAAAGCGGAAGTAGATAAATGGACTACATCAAACTTAAATTTCTATGTCTCAAAGCAAACGATCAACAGACCAAAAACAACCTATAGAATGAAAGGAAATCATTGTAAGTTATATATCTGATAAGTGGTTCATATCTAGGATATATAAGAACTTCTATAATTCAAAAAAGCACCTGATTAAAAAGATGGGAAAAGGGCTTGAATAGACATTTCTCCAAAGAAAATATACAAATGGCCAACAATCATATTAAAAGGTACTCAATATCACTGGTCATTAGAGCATTGCAAACCAAAACTGCAGTGAGATACCATCCCACACCCAGTAGGATGGGCACTATTTAAAAATATATATAAGCTAGGGAAACATAGGGAGACCCTGTCTGTATCAAAAAATAATAATAATAAACTAGCCAGGCTGCAGTCCCAGCTACTCAGCAGGCTGAGGTGGGAGGATCGCTTGAGCCCAGGAGGTCAAGCCCACAGTGAGCCGTGAACACAGCATTGCATTCCTGCTTGAGTGACAGGGCAAGACCCCATCTCAGAAAGAAAAATGAGAGAAAATAAGTATTGACAGGAATGTGAAAAAAGTGGAACTCTGTGCACTGTTGGTGTGAATATAAAATGATTCGGTCACTATGGAAAAGAATATGGAGATTCATCAAAAAATTAAACATATCAGGAGGCTTAAGCAGGAGGATCACATGGGCTCAGGAGTTCTGAGCCTAGACAACAGAAAGGCCCTATCTAAAAAAAAAAAACATATATATATATATATACACACACATACACACATATGTATATATGTATATTTGATCCAGAAATCGCACTCCTGGATATATACCCCAAAGAACTAAAAGCAGGATCTTGAAGAGATATTTGCACACCCATCTTCATAGCAGCACTTTTCACAATAGCCAAGAGGTTGAAGTTCCATCAATGGATAAGAATGGAAAAACAAAATGTGACATATACACACAATGGAATATTATTCAGCCTATAAAAAGATGGAAATTTTGAACCAGGCTACAACATAGATGAATCTTAAGGATATTAGGCTAAGTGAAATAAGCTAGTCAAAAATGATAGACACTATGTAATTACACTTACATAAGGTATCTAAAATAATCAAACTCATAGAAACAGAAAGTACAATAGCGGTTATCAAAGGCTAAGTGGAATGGAAAAAGGGGAGTTATTCAATGGCCTAGAGTTTCAGTTTTACAGGATGAGAAAGTTACAGAGATATGTTGAACAACAATGGGAATGTAGTTAATGAGATTAAACACTACATTTAACAATAGTTAAGATGGGCTGGGCACGGCCGCTCATGCCTGTAATCCCAGCACTTTGGGAGGCTGAGGCAGCCAGATAACTTGAGGTCAGCCTGGCCAACATGATGAAACCCCATCTCTACTAAAAATACAAAAAATTAGCCTGGGGTGGTGGTGGGTGCCGGTAATCCCAGCTACTTGGGAGACTGAGGCAGGAGATTTGCCTGAACCTGGGAGACAGAGGTTGCAGTGAGCTCAGTTGCACTCCATCTCAAAAAAAAAAAAAGTTAAGATGGAAAATTGTGTGTTGTGTATTTTTATAAGTTTGTAAAAATGCTCTCCAGGCTCCCACTCCCTCTTCCCTCATCTCCCTAGCTGATGTGCAAGGCCCAAAGCAGAGGGGAACATGCTGATATCTGCTTCCAGGTGCTGTCCCACACTTTACACAGCCACAGCCCTTCAGCCAGCAAGGTGTCCCCTGGAGTCCCTGCTGTGGGCAGACAGGCTGTGTTCCCTACACAAGTGGGGAAACACCGCAAACCCAACCCAATACAAAGCAGCTGTTTACAGCTCTCTGTGCTGTGGGCAAGATAGACGATGTCTAACAGTCTCTTCCCCATCAGCTTCCATGATAAGGTGGTATGACCAGGTTCTGGCGCACAGGCAAACAACTATCAGGCACAAAAACAGATGACTTGTTGTTTAACTCGATTAGTTTTGTGTCCATACTGTGTCGTCACAGGCCTCTGAAAAGAATTTTAAAACACAACCCCTCAACATCTACAGAGATGGGTAGGTCACATAGGTACATAGACGGAGCTGGGCAGGAGCAGCTGGAAGCAGGGGCACCGAATCAAACCAGAGAGCACTCACCCCGTGTACAGCGGCAGCCCCTACTGATAGCTCCAGTTGTTGTGCTGATGATGGAATTGGGGTTTTCATGCTTCCTGTTTCAAACCAGAACCAGAAACCCAGATTTTTATATGAAATCTCCCAATTTTTATTCATTTTTATTTATTTATTTTTGAGATGGAGTCTCACTCTGTTGCCCAGGCTGGAGTGCAGTGGCACAGTCTCGGCTCACTGCAACCTTCTCCTCCCAGGTTCAGGAGATTCTCCTGCCTCGGCCTCCCAATCAGCTGGGACTACAGGCACACACCACCATGCCCAGCTAATTTTTGTATTTTTAGTAGAGACAGGTTTCACCATGTTGGCCAGGCTGGTCTCAAACTCCTGACCTCAAGTGATCTGCCCACCTCGGCCTCTCAAAGTGCTGGGATTACAGGCATGAGCCACTGCACCCGGCCCCAATTTGTAAACATTATGAATGCTCAGAAGAAAGTGGTGTACATAAACAGAAAACACATGTGCAGTGTGTGAATGTATATAAACATACATTATAGATATGCTGCCAGCATGTGCAATGAAGTAAGCAGTTAATCCTTACTTTCAGAGGCCTGTATCCACACAGAGCTGAGACTATACCGAGTTTAAGAATAAGTCATCTGTTTTTGTGCCTGTCTGAGGACAGTTGTCTGTATCATGGGGGAGATGTTAAGACATTTTTGGAGATAGGTGATCTGTGGGGATGCAGATGAAGCAGGAGAGGAGAGAAGAGCAGTCTGAACTGGGCCGTGAGCTGTGGCATGGTTTATTCAGAGAGGATGGGGACTACTGGGTGATGAGGACGGAGGCAATAGTAGGGAAAAAGCTTGGCCGGAAAGACAGGAATGAATAAGGACACTACGCCGAGGAGTTTGAGCTTTATTCTTTATGAAGAGGGGAGCTACTATAGGGTTTTCTTTTTCTCCCTGAACTCCAGTTACACTTATGTTAGACAGTTCAACACTATCTCACCTCTTTGGGATGCTTCATTTTATTTTCCTCTTTGTGATTCACTTTGACTATCGACTGACTTTTTCACTGATTCTTTGTTCAACTGTGAGCAGTCTGCTGATGAGCCTATGTTGTTTTTGTCTATGATACTACATTTTTTATTTCCGTTTGATTTTTCTCCTTTAATTTCCATCTCACCGAGTGCCTTGAACACTCATCTGTCGAGACAAGCTGTTTATCTTTTCCACCAGCACCTTTCACATACTGTTATTTTAAAGCCCCATAGCTCACCATTCCAACATCTGGGTCTCCTCTGAGAACTGTTCTGCTGATCGTTCTACCACTTGACAATGTGATTTTTTGGTTTCCCCCCTTTTTTTAAAAAAAGATGGAGTCTCACTCTGTCACTCAGGCTGGAGTGCAGTAGTGCGATCTCGGCTCACTCCAACTTCTGCCTCCTGGCAGAAGTATTTCTCCTGCCTCAGCCCCCTGGGTAGCTGGGATCATAGGCACCCACTACTGCACCCGGCTAATTTTTGTATTTTTAGTAGAGATGGAGTTTCACCATGTTGGCCAGGATGCTCTCAAACTCCTGACCTCATGTGATCCACCCACTTCAGCCTCCCAAAGTGCTGGGATTACAAGTATGAGCCACCATGCCTGCCCTTTTTTCTATGTGCCTGAAAATTTTGGATTGAATGCCAGACATCATTTGCAGAGAAAAGTAGAGACAGGTATGTAGTTATCACTCCTGGAGAGGGGTACCCTCTTCTTTGGTCAGGCCACTGCCATGGGAAGCTCACTCAGTCCAATGAATAACTGAACTGGGTTTTGGCTTTATTGTCACTATATTTACTTTGTGTTCCACAGTCTTCAAATAATTCCTCCAATGGTAGGATGCTATTGCCTTATGCTTAGAGGAGGCCTAGGTTACCAGTGGATTTTTCTCAGTGTTTATACTCTTAAGGTTTCAGCAGCCCCTAACACACACCTGTGCCACAGAGGGGTTCTCTCCACACACTTGCCCTTCCCCCAGGGGTAGATTGCTATGACTTACTCCATGCTAGAGTTGTGGGGCAAGGGGACTTTTTCATTTCTCCTGCTCCAGCTGGAATCCTAAGCATGCCGTATGCTTCTGGGCCTTGGGGTGAGATCATCTTTCCCATAGCCCCTGACTCATCCCCCAGCATGCCTTGTATCTGTGGCAAATCTTGGCCAGAGTAACATTTCCTACCCCTCACTAAGAAGTAATGGATATTTCTCTGGGGCCTGCAAGAGAGAGTGAGTTTGCTGACCCACCCTGTGCCTTGAGACATTTGCACCAAAAGGGCGAAAGTAGGTGGGTTACATAGTAAGACTGGTTTTTGATATGTCATCGCTATTGAAATGCCAAAAATGGCCAGAGGGTGAACAAGACTGGTGTGGGGCAGAGAGACTAGCAATGAGGCAAGAGTGAAAGCAAATATAAGGAAGGCCTCACAGATTTGTTTTTGTACTTAGTATGTGCAGAGTACTATACTCAGTGGTGTGCGTATATCTGGAATCTCATTTAATAGAACTACTCTATAAGAGGATTTTGATTAGCCCAGATGAGATGAGAAACTAAGGCTCAGACAGCTCAGGCAACCTGTGGAAGATTCAAACCCAAGTCTCCCTGACGCTCAAACCTGTCGTCTTAACTGCTCTCCAGCCACAATAATCGCTTCGCCACTGTGGTAGTCACTACTCTGCTGTGATCCAGGAAACAGAGGGGAGCAGACAGCTGTGAGATATGAAAGAGGTGAAATGCACAGGAGCTGGCCACTAATTCAACCAGGAGGCTGTAGAAATAGGGAAACACAGAGGAAGACTCTCCAGTTTTTTACTTGAGTGGATGGGTGACTGTGATGCATGAAAAGAGAGGAAGATGGGGAAGCCACTTTTCATCGAATCGAGTGTAAAATGCTTGTGAGACATCCTAATGCAGATGTCAGAAGGCAAAGGCAGAGAAAGACCAAACAGAAATGGCTGCAGGGGCCCTGGACTCTTGTTGGCCAGGGCCCTTTGTCCCTCTCATGTGCTGTGAGCTAATGAGGTGTTCTTTGATTACAGGCTCACCAGGACCAAAGGGAAGCCCAGGCTTCCCCGGTATGCCAGGCCCTCCTGGGCAGCCTGGCCCTCGGGGCTCAATGGGACCCATGGGACCATCTCCTGATCTGTCCCACATTAAACAAGGCCGAAGGGGCCCTGTGGTCAGTATCTTATCAGAGATCCACTCCCTGTGTGGGGAAAGTGTGTTTTTGTCTCATGATTTTGCCTTTGGTTAAGCCAGATCCTTTTGTATTGTAGGGTCCACCAGGTGCACCAGGAAGAGATGGTTCTAAGGTAAGTCTTATGAGTGGTCCTCACAAGCTAAAGGTCTCCCCTTTTCAATTTTTTTTTTTTTTTGAGACAGAGTCTTGCTCTGTTGCCCAGGCTGGAGTACAGTGTCGTAATCTCTGCTCATTACAACCTCCACCTCCCCAGTTCAAGCAATTCTTCTGCCTCAGCCTCGTGAGGAGCTGGGATTACAGTTACCCACCACCACACCCAGCTAATTTTTGTATTTTTAGTAGAGACGGGGTTTCATCATGTTGGTCAGGCTGGTCTGGAACTCCTGACCTCAGGTGATCTGCCCACCTCAGCCTCCCAAAGTGCTAGGATTGCTAGGATTGAGCCACCATGCCCTCAGATTTTCTTTTCTTTCTTTCTTTTTATTTTTTTTTTTGAGACAGGGTCTGGCTCTGTTTTCCAGGTTGGAGTGCAGTGGCACAATCCCAGCTCACTGCAACCTCCGCCTCCCGAGTTCAAGCGGAGTTCTCCTATCTCAGCCTCCCAAGTAGCTGGGAACACAGGCACATGCCATCACTCTTGGATAACTTTTGGATTTTTTAGTAGAAACAGGATTTTGCCATGTTACCCAGGCTGGCCTCAAACTCCAAAGCTCAGGCAATCTGCCCATCTTGGCCTCCCAAAGTGCTGGGATTACAGGCATGAGCCATTGCTCCCAGCCTGAGGGTCTCTCACTTTCTACCTCTTGCACTAGCATCTGGGAAAGCTCAACAGACATTGTTTACCATCCCCATTTTGCATTCAGCAAAACTGAGACACAGATACCAGATACAACTTTTTCCCCAAAGCTTGTAACAAAATCTGAGTAGCCACTTTCTTAAATTGTAAAATCATCCCAGAAGACAAAAACAACCACTCATAGGAAAAATGACCCTGATATATTTTAAATAATCCTCTGCATTGTGACAGTCACATGTGTTTTTCTCTTTAACCAGTGTTGCCTCACAGGATAGTTTTGTGTGTGTTTCCATTTCTGAGAGGTTTTTCAAGTCAGGAACAGGAGATACTCTATTCTGTGAACAGGAGATATCTCAAAAGGGATAGTTCCCCTTGAGAGCTGCCTGCTTTTTTTTGCCTCACAAAGAAGTCAGTGTGAGTTACTTCAGAAAGTTTCTTACTCCACATGCTGCTGGGAAATAGGAACGTTCCTCTTGCCAGGAAGGTTTGATAATATATGGGCTCGAGGGAAATCAGAATGAGAGACACTTAACCCAAGCATCCTGTTCAAATAAGTGGTCCCGTGAGTCCAACTCAGTTTTACATATGGTTTTTATAGAAAATATTTGTGGTTTTGTGCAGGGAAGTGGTTATGGTGGGTGTATAGAGACCATTGCTGCGGCAGCCACATGCTCTAGAAAGCTAATCCTGGCCTTTCTGTTTTTAGGGGGAGAGAGGAGCGCCTGGGCCCAGAGGGTCTCCAGTAAGTAGCACTCTCTGTCCTGCTTCCCCAGGGGAACATTCTCAGAGATGCAGCTCTGATGAGCCTATAGGTTGGTCTAGTAGCAAAAGCCCGCCCCTTCCTGATGCCACTCAGCCCACCTGAATAGAACTCTGTGGTTAGGAAGGGAGTCATAGAAACCCTAAGCTGCTAGTTTGGATTATTTTTCAAATTTGTTTTCTGCTGTTTTTTCTTTTATAGTGGCTAATCTTTTTTTTTTTTTTTTTTTTTTTGAGAGGGAGTCTCACTCTGTCACCCAGGCTGGGGTGCAATGGGGCTATCTTAGCTTACTGCAACCTCCGCCTCCTGGGTTCAAGCGATTCTCCTGCCTCAGCCTCCCAAGTAGCTGGGATTACAGGCATGTGCCACCACACCCAGCTAATTTTGTATTTTTTGTTGTTGTTGGGTTTGTTTTTAGAGATGGGGTTTCACCATCTTGGCCTGGCTGGTCTCCAAATCCTGACCTCGTGATCCACCTGCCTCAGGGTCCCAGAGTGCTGGGATCACAGGCATGAGCCACTGCACCTGACCTAATTTTTGTATTTTTAGTAGAGATGGGGTTTCACCATCTTGGCCAGGCTGGTCTCAAACTCCTGACCTCGTGTTCCACCTGCCTCAGCCTCCCAAAGTGCTGGGATTACAGGCGTGAGCCTCGGCGCACCGCCATCATGGCTGATCTTCATTTGAAATGTCTTCTTTTAAAGCTCAAAACCCTGCTATACCATGAGTCTCTTTCCAAGCATTATCATACAATATGTGAAAGGTCTAGGAAAGAAATCTATGGATTTAAATTATAACTGAATAATTGAGAATTTAGCCACTGCTACAACTCTAGCAGGTCAGATGGCCATCTCCTCTAAAAAGTGCAGAAACATGCAGGGCTATTAAGGACCTGATAAGAAATTAGCTGCAATATAAACATAGTATTTGGGAGATTCAAAATGAGAATTAGTAGTATTAAAAAGCATAGAAAATTCAAACCATTTCACTGCTTCTGAAGAAGTCAGTATCATTTCTGAAATCCAACAGCTGTGGCCACAGGTGGGCGTTGTGGGGTCCATCTCAGCTCTTCTACCTGCTAGCTTTCTGACCATGGGCACATCACTGAGGGTCTCTGGGCATTCATCTCCCCACCTGTGCGGTGGCGCTAGTGGAATCTGATCTGCCATACCTCAAGTGGTTATTGTGAGGGTCAAGTGGTACCGAAATACTGTGCCTCTCTTCATGCTTTACAGTGTAAGCTCCGCTTCCACAGGGCCAGCCACTACTGCAGTGGTTGTGAGAAATGATAACGATTTTACTACAAGCTTCTGACAACCCAGAACACGTGTACGCATTTCTTTTTTACCATACCCCACACAGGACTATATGAAATTAAGGCTTCATAAATACTATATGATGATATACGATACTCAATACTTAGAAAAACTAGGAAGCTTTTGTTTGGACCTTTCCTAGTGAATGGGAGCTGACATCTTTACAGCATCCTCCCAACTTCATTTAGCTTGTGCTTATAGTCAGCCTTCTTTTAAACACTTAATAATTTCATTTTTTAAAAATAACAGCATTTTTTTGAGACAGGGTCTCACTCTGTCACCCCGGCTGGAGTGCAATGGTGCAATCTTGGCTCACTGCAGCCTCAACCACCCAGGCTCAGGCAATCCTCCCACGTCAGCCTCCCAAGTAGCTGGGACCACAGGTGCCTGCCACCATGCCTGGCTAAATTTTTTTATATTTTTTGCAGAGCCAGGGTTTCACCATGTTGCCCAGTCTCAAGTTATCCATCTGCCTCAGCCTCCCAAAGTGCTAGGATTACAGGTGTGCGCTACCACGCCTGGCCCAGATAGCATTTTTGCATACATATTATGCTCAACGCCCTTTACATGCATTTACTTACTTAAATTCTCACTTATGGACCCTATAAAACCCTATAAAGTTGGGACTATTATTATCCCCATTTTAGAGATGGGAAAACTGAACCACAAGAAATTAAGACCACACAGCTAGTAAGTGGCAGAGATGAAATTCAAACCCAGCAGAACCCCAGTCTCTTAACTACTGCTTGGCTGCCTTCAAAAGCATCTTCCAGATTGCTTTGGAAAGTAAATTAGAAGAGTTATTTTTATATTCATTCTTCTTCTGGATTTGATAAAGCCTAGAGTTAGGAGGGAGGAGAGGCGAATACATCACCAAAGCTCATCTGCGAAATGGGAGAATTAGAAGAGGATGTGGAGGACCCCCAGGCTCCTGTAGTAGTCCTCACATTGACTCCATTTGGGGCACAGAGTTATTGAGAAAGTAGTTGCCAGCAAGCATGGGGACTAGCAAGTCATGGAGCCCCGAAGGCCATTGCTATCTGTCTCTACATTGATTCCTCCCATGTACACAGGGACCCCCTGGTTCTTTCGACTTCCTGCTACTTATGCTGGCTGACATCCGCAATGACATCACCGAGCTGCAGGAAAAGGTGTTCCCGCACCGGACTCACTCTTCAGCAGAGGAGTTCCCATTACCTCAGGAATTTCCCAGCTACCCAGAAGCCATGGACCTGGGCTCTGGAGATGACCATCCGAGAAGAATTGAGACAAGAGATTTGAGAGCCCCCAGAGACTTCTATCCATAGCGCACCCCAGCACCGTCACGCCAAAGGAAGGGAAAGATCGTTTCACCTGCAGTTAAACCCTCTCAAGAGAAAACTCACCACTGGAGACCTAGAAAACCAAGAAGTTTTTCTCTTCTCTTCTCCTGACTTCTTTCTACTCCTACTCCGCTTCTTTCAAATATAATACTATATTCAGAGTCCCCTCCTAGGTCTGCAGACACGAGGGAGTGAACGACTGATTTACATGCTTCTTGCTAAGAGTGTGTTGGGGTGGTTTGCGTTGTAATTTTTCTTTTACTACTTTTTCAGTACTCTCACTGTGTTTTAAATCATAAACTTTCATGTTAAATTTGGCAGAATATCAAAAAGGGAAAATGGCAAAGTGAGCTCTAAGAAAATATGAGGCAGATTTTAGGATATATGTTCAGAATAGACCATAACTCCTCTAGTATCAAAATTAGGGCTCTTCAATTAAGAAGGGGTGGGAGGACAGATTTGTAGTTGTACTTTGGTGTAGAATTCTTTTCCTTGTCCTTCTAGTAGACTTTAAATATTTTATCCCCTTATCTGACCTTGTTTCCCAAATTAAAGAGAAGAGAGAATTGGGTGGAGTTTAGAGAAGATAGAAAAGAATTACAGTGATATATTTACGGTTACATAGATTGCTACCTTCTAAACTTCAAATATGGTGCTTAAGGTTTTATGCCATGCTTATCTGTAAGTATTCTATTTAGGTAAGAAAATTAAACCCTCTTTTCAACAAACAGAAAGTGAAATGCCCTGATTCACATTATAACAATGGGCCCTGGTTTACTAGAGTATTTTTAAGCTGTTTAATCAAGAATGAAGCTTGATCTATAAATCACAGATAATTTGTTCAATAAAGTGGCTGACCTTAGAGGTGCAGAATTCCTGGTGCTGAGCAGGTGCCCAGAAGGTGCCATTCGGTGCCATGATCCAGGCTGAAGCAATGTACAGTGGGGTTCAAGGCTACAAGGAGGCTGCTGGCTTCAGCTAGCCTCACTAATGCCATCAGCAGTGGTAGGTGAATTTGTTCTCCTTGGATATTAGAAGTCTTGTCTGGAGCCAATCAAGCTTGCTGACATGCTGAGAATAATACACTGTTGAAAGTTATCTTGGATGGAGAGGAAAAAACAAGTGGTTTTCCTTGTTTGCAAAAACTTCCTTCCTATTCCCATTTTTCCTTAATTTTCTTTAATATAGTCCAAGTTCCAGGTCTTGTAGGCCTTCTCTTTGGTTTCTTCTATTTCTCAACCTCCCAGTGAGTTAGAGTGTTTTCTCAGAGCATCTCTGGGTCCGAAAGAGAAGCATGTGCCCGCCAAGGTTTTCTGTGGATCCAGAAGCACCAGGAGCAAGAGACCAGAAGGGTGGTCTGCTCCTTTGTAACCTTGTCGAGGGGCCTCTTGTTTCCAGTGAGCAGCTCATAGGTTCCTCACATTCCACTTTCTCATTGGACACACAGAGTGGCTCTTTATCTACCTTTGCAGAAGACTTTCACTCTTACATTGAGCTTCACACATGATCGTTCTCATATTCACTCATGTTGGACTATCCCATCCGGCCACATCCTTTCCCATTTCTTTTTGGCTTTTTGGCCTCCAGCTTTTAGGCTACATCATTTAGCTCCATTACTATGAAAGCTTGCTTCAAGAAAATCCCTCTTGTGTTCAAATGCCACCTTTCTGTCTTCTCCCTTAAGAATGATAGGAGGCTGGGTGAGGTGGCTCAGGCCTGTAATCCCGGCACTTTGATAAGCCAAGGTGGGCAGGTCACGAGGTCAGGAGATGGAGACCATCCTGGATAACATGGTGAAAACCCATCTCTACTAAAAATACAAAAAAAATTAGCTGGGCATGGTAGCATGCGCCTGAAGTCCCAGCTACTAGGGAGGCTGAGGCAGGAGAATTGCTTGAGCCCAGGAGGTGGAGGTTGCAGTGAGCCGAGATCGTGCCACTGCACTCTGACCTGGGCAACAGAGCGAGATTCTGTCTCAGAAAAAAAAAAAAAAACTGATAGGAAGGGGCTTTGCAAATCTCTAGTGGCAAGAGTCTTCCTTCCCTTCTTCCTACCATGTTGGAAATGCAGGACTCGTGTCAGTCAGCGGGTGGCTGAGTCTGATGAACACTTTGCTCCCCTATTTCTTATTTATGCAGAACGTTTTTAAAGTGAAAGCAAACACATTGTTAGTGCTCTTTTCCTAGCATCTTCCTCCTACTCTCCACAAAATGCAACACTCGTGACAGAGGGCCACGCCAACCACGGGTTTATGAAGCCAGGAACTGAACAGCTGTTGATTCCCATCTGGAATATATTCAATGTTTGCCTGCTTGTGGAGCATGGTATTTAAAGGGTGTGGGTG